GTAAGTGTAGTGCGGTTCTATAACTGTTAACAAATATAAGTGCGTAGCATGCCTTACATTCGTATATATATCACTGGTTAGTTTTAATGTGGTTTTATAACTGTTAACAAATATAAATATGTAGCAGGTCTTATATTCGTAGATCTCGCTGGTTAGTTTTAGTGTAGTTCTATAACTGTTAAATATAAATATGTAGCAGGTCTTATATTCGTAGATCTCGCTGGTTAGTTTTAGTGTAGTTCTATAACTGTTAACAAATATAAATATGTAGCAGGTCTTATATTCGTAGATTTCACTGGTAAGTGTAGTGCGGTTCTATAACTGTTAACAAATATAAGTGCGTAGCATGCCTTACATTCGTATATATATCACTGGTTAGTTTTAATGTGGTTTTATAACTGTTAACAAATATAAATATGTAGCAGGTCTTATATTCGTAGATACCACTGGTAAGTTTAGTGTGGTTCTATAACTGTTAACAAAGATAAGTGCGTAGCATGCCTTACATTCGTATATATATCACTGGTTAGTTTAGTGTAGTTTCATAGCTGTTAAGAAATATAAATATGTAGCAGGTCTTACATTCCTAGATCTCGCTGGTTAGTTTTAGTGTAGTTCTATAACTGTTAACAAATATAAATATGTAGCAGGTCTTGTATTCGTAGATACCACTGGTTAGTTTTAGTGTGGTTCTAGAACTGTTAAATATAAATATGTAGCAGGTCTTACATTCCTAGATCTCACTGGTTAAGGAAGCTCACAACTTCTTGCTTCTCTAACCAATAGTGTCTTGTATGAAAAATTCTGAAGATTGAGCTGTCACGTAAATGTAGCACTACAATTACGAATTGACAAGTGATTGTTTTCAATTACTACTAGTGCAGCTCTTAAATTACTGAGAGTGACAGAAGAATTATGCGTATAATCTACAAGATTATTTCAGCAGTTCCAACCTTTCGGCTGTGTACTATCTACCAATCCTTAGGTTTCTGAGAACTAGTGGAGTATTGTAACTTAGCATGTGACTGTTATCTTCGTTTTTGAAATATTGTACATTTTTGGTACTGAGTTAGTATAGTCTCTGGTTTGCTGAGGAATGTGAAAATAAATTATAAGTTCACAACAATTAAAATAGAAATGTTAACATGGTATAAATGTATTATTTGCAATTACTAATAATTTATAATATGAAACAAGATGGCAACGCTTACAAAGAAGTTGCCCCTATAGCGGTATAGCTGCGGACTTACAACGCTAGAAACCGGGTTTCGATACCCGTGGTGGGCAGAGCACAGATAGCCCATTGTGTAGCTTTGTGCTTAACTTCAAACAAACAAATACAAAGAAATCCAATAAAATAGACATTTTTAAGTAAAAGTGAATGATCAGTTGAAATCGTTCCTATTTTAGTTAAAATGGGAAATTATTTTGCAAATAACACATTAGTCATGCTGTTAAAATGTATAGAGTTAAGGTATAAATAGCACATTTGTCATGCTGTTAAAATGTATAAAGTTAAGGTATAAATAGCACATTTGTCATGCTGTTAAAACGTATAAAGTTAAGGTACCAATAACACATTTGTCATGCTGTTAAAACGTATAAAGTTAAGGTACCAATAACATATTTGTCATGCTGTTAAAACGTATAAAGTTAAGGTATAAATAACACATTTGCCATGCTGTTAAAACGTATAAAGTTAAGGTATAAATAACACATTTGCCATGCTGTTAAAACGTATAAAGTTAAGGTATAAATAACACATTTGCCATGCTGTTAAAACGTATAAAGTTAAGGTATAAATTATAATGCTTGGAAAAACAAGATCGAACAAAACTGAAAATGTAATAACGAGGATTAACAGTAACTATAAATTAGATAAGGACAAGAAAAGGCCAGCTATTATGTACCTGATAAAGGTGTGTTTCCAGTGACTTGGCCAGCTATTATGTACCTGATAAAGGTATGTTTCCAGAACTTTGGGGGTGTTATGTTTCGAATGTTTCCCCTCTAAAGCTTTTGAATGTGCTCAATAATTGAGTGAACCTTAGTAAGCAGTGTATTTTAGGTCATGAGTGAAATATGCCAAATAATTGCGAAGTTTACCTAAGAACTAAGTTTTACTAAAACAAACTTTATCAACTTATTGTTTCGTGTGGTATCTCTACTATGGTCGTGGATTCCCATAATGTTCCATAATATCTTGAAAATATCGTTAAGTGAAAATTAAAAGGTTGGTTGATTGCAGTGAGTAATAATGATTTTGATTCATTTGAAGTCAAGAATTATGTCCACATCGTCCCCAGTGATTCGATATCCTACGGAAGACAGAGCGCGGATAGGCCAATGGGGGACAAGCGTGGCTCAGTGGTTAGCGTGCCGAACTGTAGCTCCGAGGTTTTGTCGTTCGCACCCTGCTACCGCCATATTTGGGGCTGTGGGTATGTTAACAAGAATTATAGTAAAATCCAACTATTCAATTAGAGTAAACCATGAATTAGCGATAGATTGTGTTGGTCAACTGTCTTCCCCCTAGTCTATCACTTCAGATTTGGGGATAGCTAGGTGTCAAGTAGATTTGTGCGAAATTCAACAGCCCACGTCGACCGCTTGTACAGAAACAACAACAATTTCGCCAAAACTAATTTATAATGATAATTCTTGACACAAGGGTTTTGAAAAATCACGCTTTGGAAAGTTTTGAAGGAAAGAATGTTTCAGTTTCTAAAAATTAGTTATGAAAACCATATTTTGTGGGAATAAAAATTGCGAGTATTGCGTATTAACAGTTGCTGAAATTATTTGTTTGTTTGTAATTATGCACAAACCTACACAATGGGCTATCTGTGCTCTGCCCACCACTGGTATCGAAAGCCGGTTTCTAGCGTTGTAAGTCCGCGGACATACCGCTGTGCCACTGGGGGGGGGGGCTACTGAAATTAAAAAATACTGTTACGAAACACGTTGAAAGAAAAGCATGAGTGGGATCAGTTCAAGTTTGACTAACGGTCACCAAGTTGAAATAGACTTATGGATATATATATATAATACAACGTTGTCAGCCAGTAGTTATGAACTCAAACTGGTAGTTTTTCTGAAAGTCAGTCAGTCAGAAATGAAAACTCAAATTTTAAAAACATTAGCGGAGGATAAACAACTATTCAAAGGTAAAGGTCAACATAATCCCAGAATTGAAGGAAGAAATCGAAATATTATGCCAAGAATTAAACAAGCCTATTCATAAATTTAACCCAAAACTAACATTCGTGGAAAGCAGTGGAAGTTTTAACATATAATAAAGAAAGATGGTGATTGGCCAACCAGTATAGCAATTTTGTTGAATAAACCCTTTAACGAGCCAGTCATGTGGCAGTTCTGAAAGTATAGCTTCAGAATCAAGTAAATAGCAGCTTAGGTCTCCGAGATTTGGTATAGCTGAACACGCTCTGTATTTTGGACTGTGGGCGCTTCATAACATCAATCCTGTTTTACGGTATAAAGAACCGGTATCACATATGTATACAGAAAACCAGGCTATGTTAGACACAATTTACAAATTCCGACTTTCATCTCATTGTCTAAAAACTGAAACGGAGAGGTGATTGGTGAATGGAGCACTATAGCTGCTTGCTCGTGGAAAGATTGTTCTTTAGCTATCCATACAAGATATAAATCGCGAAGGCTTAAAAACCGAATAAAGCAAGTTACTCATGAAGATATAGTAATTTTTTATGATTTAAAGTCGTAAATAACAAATCAAAAACATTTAAATTGGACGACTGGCACATATAGCCCTCGTGTAGGTTTGCGCGAAATCTAACAAATAAATCAAACTGATTAGCGGTTATAGATTAATGAGGGTATTATACGAACTCTTAAAGATCTGTGGCCTGTTAGTTTAGCCCACATGCAAAATCAAAACAATATTGTCTCCAGGTTAAACCAAATCTATTATTCACAAATCAAAACCAATATAGTTTATAAGGATGATAAATCGTGCATGATGTAATAGTAGTGAAAATATACTGAGTAAATGTCATCTTTCAGATATCTAAAATACCCGGACAAATTTAAGTTAGTTTTGAAGAAAGCAAAGAAGAATGTATAATATAATTTCAACTACACTACATCTGCCCTATACAGTGCTGATGAGACCTTTCGCCCAATACCAGGACTCATCAGGCCAGCTGGGATACGACAGATATTGTTTGTTTAATTTTGCATAAAGCTATTCAAGGGCTGTCTGCACCAGCTGTCTCTAATTTTGAAGTGATAGACTAGAGGGAATGCAGGTAGTTGGATTGACTTAAATCCTTTAACGCCCCCATGGCTGAAAGGGCAAGCAATTTTGAAGTTATATTCCGTGACCAGCAGATTGGAGTGCAGCGCCTTAATATTAACATCAGATAATGCCAGGCCCTGACAGACATAGTAGTAGTGTTATAATTGATGAAGAGAAACATTGGGAAATATTTAGTCATATTAGCAATTTGAAGTCGATTATCTTTTGTCTCTGGGAGTCAATTTTTTTATTGGAAGCATTAGCATAAAACTAAATACCTTAATTATATTTGTTTAGTAAAATGTATAGCGTGTTGAACACGATTAATTAAAACAAAATTAAATAATATGCCAGTAAACTTATGCCCATTCGTTATATTTTTAATGTCATTTTATCGAACATGCTGTTGTACTATAAGCTGTCTGTTATCTTTAGTGTGGTAATGTAAATGTTGACCTAATATGTGTGTGATACATCTATTGTGAGATGCGATTGTGAACATTTCACACATTTGTTAGGACAGTCACTACTTAAGCAGAGGATTAGATTATTTATTTCACTATTTTCGCGCACAGTTATCTATGGAAACTATCTGTGCTCAACCCACCCTCATTTTGAAATTATATACTAGAGGAAGGTAGCTTAGCTAATCAACAGTACTCACCGCCAACTTTTGACCAATATTTACCTGAAAAGTACAAAGTGCGAATCGCGATTTTACGTCAACGGGACTTGAACCACAGACCCTCATATTCAAAGTCTGGTCAGGCTTAATTACTAGAAACCAGCGTGTTTAATAGTCGTTGGACATGAACTCAAGTGTAGTATTTTTTGCTGTAAGCCATTGCTACTATTACCTTATTGTAATTCATTTATTAGATCAAATAAGAGGATTACGATCAACAAAAGAAAAAATTGTATCTTAGATATTTTCCATTTCATTTGAAACCAAGAGTATTTTCCAAATTTGAATAAAAGGTTTGTTTTTACATAGTTAAGCCAAAATGTTCTTACAATTGACGACGCAACATTGAATGAGTGGAGAGCCATACAAACACAGGATAACAAGTTAGAGGAGGTCATTAAAGAGATTGAGCGACTCAATAGAAGGGTAAGTAACAAACTATTGTTACTTTTCTGAGTTGATCATACGAAATAGAGTTACAGAAACTAGTCTTTAAATACAAGTATCGATATAATCTAATTCAAACTTATGTTTTTACTTATTTATCTCGAAATAACTAGTAGTATTTATTTATGATAGATGTCAGGATAGATGAGTAACGGTACCACTTATTAACTATTTTTTGGAATAGACGTTGTGGTACAGAAGCAATGGTCTTACTCATAACCTTTTCTTGATACAGACGTCAGGGCACAAAAGTAATGGTCTAAGTTATAACCTTTTCTTCGAATAGATGTCATGCTACAGAAGTATTGGTTTTACTTATAACCTTTTCATCGGATAGATGTCATGGTACAGAAGTATTGGTCTTACTTATAACCTTTTCATGGGTTAGATGTCATAGTACAGAAGTATTGGTCTTATTTATAAACATTTTCTTGAGTTAGATGTCATGGTATAAAAAAATTGGTCTTACTTATAACGTTTTGTTGGAATAGATGTTATGGTACAGAAGTATTGGTCTTACTTATAATCTTTTGTTGGAATAGATGTCATGGTACAGAAGTGTTGGTTTTACTTATAACCTTTTGTTGGAATAGATGTCATGGTACAGAAGTATTGGTTTT